CTCTCTCTCTCTCTCTCTCTCTCTCTCTCTCTCTCTCTCTCTCTCTCTCTGTGTGTGTGTGTGTGTGTGTGTGTGTGTGTGTGTGTGTGTGTGATTCTTTTATCATAGAAGTGTATTTTGTTAATTTGGGATGGTTAAGAATCATGTTCAGCCTGCTGTTCTTCCAGGAAAGTCAAACTAGAAGCAAACAAGTTGACAAAGTCAAAAGTCAAGCACTAATTATAATTCAGCAGCTGGAAACAAAGCACACATTCTCATGGAAGGCCCAGAAGAATGGGGCATCTCATCAAGACTTTTGAAAGCAGGATAGATTCGTATTCGTGAGTATCTGTAGTCCTTGTTACTTGCTTTAATTTACATGTGTGTAAGGAAAGGTTGAAACACTTAATAGTATTTATATTTCAACTGGACTCAGTGTCTTAGTACAGATGCCTAGAAATATCATGTGGAGTTAGTCTATGGGAAAAAGATGGTACCTAGTGTTATGTATTAATATTTCCTAATGGGTGGTATAAAACAATTTTTTTAAAAAACCCACTTTGGTAATACTATAACAAGTAAATAAAATGAAATAAGATTGACTGTAAAAGGATAATGGGGATGGTAGCCAGAGATGGGAAAGTAGGACTAGCCTAGGCTCATGTGATGGTGTTTGCCGGAATTCTCGTGTTTCTGTGAAATGCTAGGGCTCCAGGATTCAGGGGAGGGGACACAGAAAGAAACAGAATGACCAAGACACACCGTAGGGATGAGGGCACTCACACTGAGTTCAGATTGGAAGACTTGATTTGATGGGTGGGACAGAGTAGATTCATTTTTTAAATGAACAATAACAAATATCAAAGAAAAAACAACACATAGCTGAAGCTCAATGCTTTCACTACCTTACCTCATTCCTTTCTTCACTGAATGGTGTCTGCTCATTCCTCACTGGCTCCTTTAGGAGGTCAATGCAAATGTCATGGAAAGCTTCCAACTTTGGATTCATCTTTGGAACATCTCCCTGCTGCACAAAGCAGGTTTAGTGAGAGCTGGAGCCAGGAAAGTTGAAGAAATAATCCCATATGCTAACCCCTTGGAAAAACACCATAAGCTAATAGCAACCTTTCAGTAAACGCATTCCACGGGAGACCAATGTTCTCCCTCCACGCTCCCAGCTCTCATCTTGCCTCGCCCCTTTAGTAAAGCTCATTGCCGGTAAAAGCAACTGTTGAAAGGCCCCATAGAGAATGAAGCGACTGTTACAATAGCATGCTCCTGCAAGAACATCCTCTGGAGACGGAAATGACTGTGTAGGGCAGCTTTAGCCATGAGGAGACCGAAGAGCATCAGTGAGGAAGAAATGATGAGGTCTCTGGAGGAGAATGAAGTAGGAGAACCAGAGAATCCACACGAGCAAACTGGGAGACTGTTGAAAAGAGGCAGGAAATAGAACAGTTGGGAACACAGGCTGTCCCCTGTGACTATTACTTGTTCCTGCATTTTATGGGGCTCAGCTTCAGTCACAGAGGTAGTGGGGCTTTACAAACTGGCAGGGAGGCAGCTTGAGGGCCAAGATTTTGTGATGAGGAATGGAGGCACAGGTGTCCCAAGTGATGGAACAGATAGCTTTAAATCGATGTGTATATTATCATAGAAGATTGTTGCACATGGATCATGGTATTAGACAGTTACGGAAATAAGCATACTCCCCAAAGTGCACATTACACTTGCTCAGAGAATTTGGAGAGAACCTACTGGGGAAATTCAGCTTTGAATCTCAACTCTGAAATGAAACCGGTTTGTATTACTGGATGAGTCACTTGGCACTAACGCACACTTGAAATCTAAACCACAATGGCAGCTGTTGTGGAAAGAATTCTAGATGCTAAATTAGCTAGAACTTCAAATTCCAGGTCCATTACTAGTGACCGTGGAGACCCAGGGACGGCAACTCTACCCTCTTAGGACCCATGTCTTCCCTTCTGGAACAAGGAAAGCACCACCCATAGTGGTGTGTACTTTTAATACCAGCACCTCCGGGAGGCAGAGACACTTGGATCTCTGGGAGTTTAAGGTCAGCTTAATCTACATTGTGAATTCCAAGGCAGCCAAGGGTTATAGAGTGAGACTCTTTTGACCAAACAAACAAAACACCCAAACCAAAAATCTAACAAATAATGGGGAGGTCTTTTCTCCATCTCAAGGTTACTTGTAAATCACCAGAGACGATAGGTATGCAATCCTTTTTAAAGTGTCAAATTGCTATACAAATAGAATCAGGTTTTATCACTAGTCTAGCCTTTGCAAGAGTTAGTGCATCCTCTTTTTAATAGATTCCATGTAGGAGGGGGTAAGGTCCTCGGGAATGTATTAGTGAACTTGTAAAAGAGACCCGAGAGACCCTTTGCCCTCGAACCTCCTAAGTTTGGAATGAGGTGACTATGAGGATGTGGGATTTCCCCAGGTGTCAAACCACCATTGTCCAGATTTCAGTCTTACCAACCTCTGGAACTGTGAAAAACAAATTTCCTTTGCTTAAATGCCACCAGGTCTATAGTATTTAACCTAGCAGCTGGAACAGACTAGGGTGGGTGAGGAAGCTCACAAGTGTTCTGGGGGAGGAATAAGGAAGATTTGTGGGGAGAAAGGGAGGTTTCTATTTAAACTTGGGTGTTGATAGGATTTTGATAAATAAAGGGTCATGTGTTTGAAGTAAAAGTCTAGAAGTAGAAACACTAAGGAGCGTGAGACGGGAACCTGCAATGAATTCGGAAGCACAGCAGTTTAGAAGGCGACAGACAGGTCTCAAAGCCATGGACTGGGCTCATAGCGAAGGGTTTTGAATATGAAAGGACATGAGTACAGCCATATTTAGGAAGGGGAATCAAAGCCAATATAGAATCAAAGGACTTTTAAGTAGGACAGAAAAGAATATGAATGACAGATTGAAAATGCAAGAGAGGAAAATCCTAACTGAATGGAGTCTCTAAGGCACAGAGAATGAGAAAGCAGAGGCAGGCTATGGAACCAGCTCTTCAAGAACAGAGCCATGGAATGAAAGATGGGGGAATATCATTTGGAAAGACAAGATTTCCGTAAGCTGAAGATGTCCAATATGAAAGAGGGCACTGTAGATGGTGGCAAGAAGGGTCTGAAGAAGGAATTTGTCAGCCTAGACAAGTGAGTAACAGAAGAAGCAGGGCCCCGGGAGTGAAGTGGGGGTGGACACTAACGAAGATGATGTAAGATACATGGCTCATTCCAACCCTTCTAGCAGCTTCACAGTTGTAAAATAATTACAAAAGGTTAACTGGCTTATCTATTAGAAACATTAGTACTTTTTATTCATTTTTTCAAATCTTATTTGAAGAATTTATGTGTAAACAATACAAAATATTACAAAAGAATGAAAAACCCAAGCACAAGGATGTTCATTGTAGTGTGATGTAAAATGATGGAAAGAAAAGAAGTTGAAATGTTTAAAAGAAGAGAGGTAACTTGGCTGTGTAACTACTGAATTAAAATTCCCTCAGATTGTCTAAATTGAATGAAAATTCAAATTCATGACATGGAAAATCATAAAAATATTTGCCATGAAATAGACATAATTCTACCTGAACAGCAAGTTCACTAATAAGCATGGACAACAGCAGTGATGAACACATTGGGTTGTCTTCACAGTCAAGCCTCCAGACCACCATGGCATCCATTTAGGTGGTTAGAAAATTTAGTCACATGGAGATTAAACCATTTACCCAATTTGTGACCCCAAAGTATTCTGAGGCAACTGAGTTTCCATCTAGAGCCTGTGCTCTTAGTGACACAACTATTATCCTAAACCACTTCCTTCATTAAGTTGTAGAAACAGTATCAACCAAAACATTTTTGAGAATGACAACATACTTGTCCTTTAGTTGGCTTTCATCTACCTTAGCTGTCATAAGCATTTACCCTGTTTTTACCCATCATTTCATTTTAATGCCATGAAGGCTATAATGGTTAGCTTAATACTTCCATAATGCTAAATGTTCAATGAATATAACGCCTGAATACTAGTGTTACTTTCTTTGGTGCCATAATCTGGAGGAAGAAAAAGCATTACATCTCTTATTTATGAATATAAACATAAGACTCCTTAATACAAATGTTGCTTTGGTTTTAATGGCACACATTTATCCTCTAGGATATGATCCATGGAAATGTAAACGAGACACCTTAATTGTATTTAGCCCTCATTCCCAGCAACATTTTTCTCTGCAGTGATAGGAAAGAAACAGGATTAATTATCACAAACTCTCAGATAATTATGTTAGAACACTGAGAAACAAATGTGCACGTTATGGCTCTAGAGAATTTGTATTAGAACATCTCCGCAGCAGAAGACATTTGATTAACACATTTTTATTTATACCACTTGATAATAATACATATTCCAGAAAGAAGAAATTACCTTCAGTTTTTCTTTAAGCTCTACGAGAGACCCACATAATTCAGTAATAGATTCAAGAATCTCCTTGTGTCTTGTGACAATCTTCTCAGCATATTTCTGTCCTTCTTCCAAACCTGGGAAGGAGCAAAGATAAACTTACATTTAAAGGGAATTCTTAACAGGAAAATAGAAAGAAGTGGATGCTAATTCATCTCCCAAGTGTCTTTTGTAAGTGCTGGTGGACAGTAAGTTCTTAGCAAACACACATGGACAGAAAAATCAATGGATGCAAGTATTTTTTTTAAAAGCCAAGTGTTACAGTTTAGATATATTTGGATACAGGGTGGGGAATGGATGGGAGGGACAAAGGGATTGCGATGTAGTCTCATGTAGCCCAAAGTGACCTTAAACTCACCACATAACCTCCAGTCCCCAAGTTCTGGGATTATAGGTGTGTACCACCATGCCAAGTTGTGGTTTGATCTGGAAATATCAATGTAAGTCTTGCATGTGGAAGGCTTGGTCCTCAATGCTACCTATGTTCAGAGGTAGGATTTTTGGGAAGGATCATGAGACCTCTGACTTAGCCAATGGATTAGTTTGTTGATGAGTTAAAAGTTGAATTGACTATTGGGAGGTAGTGGATCCTGTGAAAAGTGGGCATGGTTAGGGGAAATGGGTTGCTTGGGGGATATGCCTTTGGAGGAATATCTTTTCCTCAGACTCTTCTCTGTCTCTCTGTTTTCTGGCTGCGATGAGGTAAGCAGCCTTCTCTGCTATATGTTCTTGTTTCTGTAATATTCTATTCAAGATTAGCTCAGAGAAGTAGAACAAGCCAAGCATGGGATGATGCCTCAGGAGCCCTGAGCCAGGTGTATAGTCACAGTGACGGAAAACTCACTAGCCCATGAGTTCTAAAGTGAAGATTGCATTTGCTGTACCATTGTCACTTTTATGGAACCTAGATAATGTACTTATATTAATATTCTTAAGACTCAGTACTAATCAGGGTTTCCTATACAGGACATTTAGAAATTCTTCACTGCTTAGAGAATATACATTTCTCAGGATGGCATTCAAGGCACACCATTATCTGGTTTGAACCTGCCTGCTCCAAATGTGTGTGATTTTAATTCTCTGATATATTTTCATTCCTGGCCAAGCTGAGCCCATAATTCCCTGCTAAAAATTTCCCATATAAAAAAAATTATATACCTAACATAGAAGAATGGGCCTCAACCACCAACTCTTCTCAGTTTATGAGTTAGAAAAATCAATTTGAAATAGATTAAAGAATTAAATTCAAGACCCGGAATTTTAAAACAAGTAGAAGAAAGCACAAGGAATGTTGACGTGAGTGAGGATTTTCAGGCGAGACTCTGAAAGTCCAGGAAACAAAAGCACACATGGACAGATGGGAGTGTGTCAGACTAAGGGGCCTCTGCAGAGTGGAGTGGACCAAAGCGCAAAGGCCCCTTACAGAATGAGATCGAATAGTTGCCTCTGGTTTATATCTGATGGGAGGTTAGGATCCAGAAGAACTCAAGCAACTCAACAGGCATGCCCCTCCCCCCACCCAATCCAACCTGAAAACCGGCAACAGCTGGAAACACGTTTCTTAAAAGAGGATACTCATTCTGAGCTGTGGATGTAGCCCAGGGGCCCGAGTGCACGCTTAGTGTATGTGGGACCTTATCCTGGTTTCCTTCATCTGCTGTTGTGATAAAATACTGACCAAGAGCATCCTGAGGGGTAAGGGTTTGTTTCAGCTCATAGTTTACAACCCATGATTAAGGGAAGCCAAGACAGAACTTGGCGGCAGGAAATAAATCAGGAGGAATGTTGTTGACGGGCTGACTTGCTTGCTCAGTTATCTTTCTCACACAACTCAGGCTCAGCTACTCAAGGTAAGCTTGGCTCTCTCACACCAGTTGGAAATCAATAAAATGCCCCCATAGACGTGGTTACAGGACAACCTAATGAAGGCAATTACTACTGAGATTCCCTCTTGCCAAGCATGTTTATGTTTGTGTCAAACTGACAAAAACTAACTATGACAGGCCCCAAATTCAACCCCTAACCCCAGTCACAGAAGATAAAAGTTACATACAACAAAAGACAAGCATTCGCTATGCGGTGACTGTTAGGCCCAAACCATGTCTCTAGACTGCAGGAACTGCCCGTCTTTGTTTTTTCCATAAACACTTCGGCCAGCTCCTGATGCATAGTAGGCACTCACAACTAGCTTTTGGGATACATTTATTTGCATTAAAAGTCTGGATTCTGACTGGCCCGCTGGTTGAGCAGGTAAAGGCGCTTGCTTTCAAGCCCGGTGACCTGAGTTAGAACATTGAGGTCCGCGTGGTGGAGGGGAGAACTGACTCCCACAGGCTGTCCTCCGACCTCTACATGTTCACTGTGGCCTCTATCCCTCTACCCCGAATAAATGTAAAATTTACAACTTCGGGGATCAGCAATGCTTTCTTCCTCTGCAAGGGTTTATTTCATATTCCTGAAGTAAATGTGTAATACAAATAAAGGATGGATAGTCTCTTGGTCTGGTGAGATGTCCCAGTGAGTTAAGATGCTTACTGCCAAGCACGCCGACCTAAGTTTGGTTCCCAGAACCCACTTGGTGGAAGGAGGGACCCGATTCTGCAATTTGACCTCTGGCCTCTAAATGTGTGCTGTGGCCTCTGTAGTCTGCAAACATATACACATATCATACACACACAGACACAAAATAAATATATTTAAAGGTGTGTAAGTTCCATACTAGATGTGTGGAAACTCATAAGAATGCTTATTTTTTATTATAATATTCAATTATTCCTTTATTACTGCAAGAGCTTTTGATCCCTCAGTACATGCTATGATGCTCTGAGTTAACAGGTGAGATTTCATCTCTCAGGGAGATTATACTCTAATAGAATAATCCAAATGACTAACTAATGCAAATATCAGCTAGTAATAAGAGCCAGAACATTCAACAAGGCAGACCCAGAACTTTGCAAGGTTGCAGAAGAATGTGATTTTATGGGGTCTTTGTGAGTACTTATCATGTCTTGGCATTGAACAGGGATTGTAATACAGCATATTATATTCTCCTCTCACCCACCAGCACATAAAACAGAGAAGTGTCTATATTATCAATGGAAAGTAAAATAGAGACAGACATCCACAGCACTAGAGATGCCCTGAAGACTTCCTTTTCAGCACGCTTTCATAGTAACCATGGCAAGAGAGAGACATCCATTTCTTTTCATTAGCTTTCCAGCTGAGATTTTAGTGCTTTTGTGATTTCTACTATTTTCCTTTGAAAAATAATAAACAATTTGTTCTCAAGGATTTCTTATTAGGCAGTCAGTGTACTCCATGTTGCTAAGCATTTTGTCTCTATCTGGGAGTAGGGGTGAGGTAGACTGAATGTCTGTCTGGAGCAGCTTTGGGCTGCTTTCTGAAGTGCCTGCTAGTGTCTTCCCCTAGGCTGCCTTTGCCTGGTCACTGTGGATTTCCTTCGTCTCACAGGAGTCACATCAGAGAGGTCATAGAACTGCTTTCTCGGGGCCCTCAAAAGCATTGTCCCCCAGGGGCTTCTTTTATGAGGTAGCCCTTGCTTGGCCTCTTCCACTCTTGCCTCACCATGGAGGAGAGCAAAGCATCCATGAGGTGACAGAGTTCTCTCATTTGCTGGACAGGCAAGAAGATGAGGGAGAGTTGGCCAGCCATTGCTCAAATCCTCAAATCAAACTTTCATGGAAATGTGAGGCTGATAACCTTTAGGGTAAGCTCTGTGCCCACTTGCACTGAATCTTCTCATATACAAGGCGTCACTCTAATGGACATTACATATTAGTCTATAGAGTGTGGCTCTGGTTTCATTGCCCTGGAGAAGAATGGAAAGGATGGGACACAAAGTGAACAGAGAAGGAGTTAAAACCCAGGCTTCATCTGCTGTGGGAAGTGCTACCCTCTGCTCCCCACTGTTTACTTTTGCTGGATGTGGCACGGATCTTGAGACTTCTCTCGGAATAGGTGGGGATAGTAAGGGCCTTGATCTTCTTCCTGCTGGATTGGGTTCAGTATAGACTTGTTCAGTGGCAATTACTATCACATAAGAACTCACCGTATAGGCGCTGAGCAAGATCGATGACCTCCCGAATCCTTTCTTCTTGCTGAGGCACTGAAGGAGCAACAAACTTATTGAACTGCCTGTGGAGGATTTCCACAGCTTCTTTTGTCTGGCACTCCATGGAATACTTTCCAACTCTTACCACTGTGGCACTTGCATCTTCGTACCAGAAGTTACACTATAGGAAAATGGAAGAAACCACAGATTGAAGAGATGTGTCCTTCAGAAGTTCTTCATATTGATCAGTTCAGATTTTGATTTCCTTAAAGTTGTCCAGACAGCCTTAAACTTTCCAAGTCATATTAAAGGAAATATCAGCACATAGTCATATACCTTTTCACTTAGATACCCAATGTGGCAGTTTGAAAAAAAAAATGACCCCCAAAGGAAGCAGCATTTTTAGGAGGTGTGGCCACGTTGAAGCGTGTGTGGCCTTGTTGAAGGAAGTGTGTCACTGTGGGGGCGGGCTTTCAGGTCTCTTTTGCTCAAGCTTCCCTCAGTGTGACACAGAGACTACTTCCTGTTGCCTGCAAGATGTAGGACTCTCAGCTACTTCTCCAGCACCATGTCTGCCTGCACACTGCCATATCTCACCATGATGATAATAGACTGAACCTCTGAATTGTAAGTGAGCCACTCCAACTAAATGTTTTCCCTCATAAGAGTTGCTATGGTCATGGTGTCTCTTCACAGTAATAGAAACCCTAACTAAGACACCCAAGGCATATATTTTAAAAGTATAATTAAAGGAATATATACAAATACAATTAGAAAGCAAAAATATTGAAATAACTTTGATTGTCCTGCCTTCTTAGATTTGTGTAAAACAATTTTTAAGACAATGTTGTGTACTTTTAAGAGCAAGCAGCAAAAGCAATTGAATACTCAAAGGAATGCAAATATTGGATAAATAATGCTCAAAACTCATATAATTAGCAAACACTGCTAATAATCCATAAGTAAAACTTTTTCTTAGTAATACTCTTATGATAAATTTTCCTTTAAAAAGAAAATTTAGAGCATGGATCAAGAAAATATCACCCAAAGAAAAGAATTCTACCTTTGTGAAATAGAACTAGTCATTATTTTGGAGCACAGTGGAAGTATGAAGCAATTTTTCACTAAAAATAAGTAACTGTGGCAGGAGAAATGTCTGTCCCAGGCCAGAGGCACTTGTGCTGGGTAAAAAAAAAAAAAAAAGGCAAAACAGGACTCTGTGATAAGCTAGTTTTAAGTAAGTGCCAAGAAGCTTCAGTAGACTTGTATTATACATCATATATCAAAGAATAATCATAATGTGGCATTAAGTCCAAACACTCAACTACATTAGCAGGACAGAAAGACAGTTTGTATTTCAGAATAACAGGCAACAAAGAATGCTCGAAACCCTCAGGTGTGGTTTCTATGACATAAAATATGAGGCAATGGTTTGACCTTGTCAGACTTCATGTATTTTAGGTGGACTACTGCTGTCCTCTTGGCAGTAACCAAGGTTACAACCAGCAATGAGGAACCTGAGATATCCCAGTATCAGGTTACTCTGAAATATTTTCAAGTGTTATGAAATAAATATACCGCTTGAGCATTGACACAGCTTTCCAACAGTGACTGTAATATTAGTGGTCAAACAGTTTGAGTCAAGGTTACAAACAAATGGAAACTCTCATGGTATTGGGGGAAGTAAATTAATCAAAGCTTTTTGAAGAGCAGCTAGAAAACACAGAAAAACAAAATTCCTGTGGCTGGCGTTCATTCCCTTTGACTTGGCAGTTCAACTTTAGGGAATTACCCTAAAAGCAATAATAAGGAGGAGCATGACCAGGGCCTTCATGGCAGCAGTGACTAATACAGCATTGGAGAGACGGCTCAGTGCTGAAGAGCTCTGGTTGCCTTTCCAAAGGATCTGAGTTCGATCCCCAGCACCCATATGACAGCTCAGAACTATCTATAACTTCAGTCCTAGAGGGATCCAATGCTTCCTTCTGGTCTCCATAGGCCCTGCATATACATGGTGCAGAGACATACATGCTTACAAAACATCCATATGAATAAAATAAAATAAATATTAAAAATAATTTTTTATTACTTTTTTATTTTGTTTTATTTTTTATAAAGAAACTTTTTATTCATTTTACATACCAACCACAGATCTCCCCTTCCCTCCTCCCACCCTTCCAGCCTTCCCCTACCTACCTACCCCCCATTCCCTCCTATAAAAATAAATTTTTTTAAAGAAGTAGCATTTTTTTTTTGAGATAGTGTCTTACTATGAAGACTAACCTGTACTTGAACTAGCAATCTCCTGATTCTGCCTCCAACTACTGAGATTACAGAGTTCTCCACCATGCTCAGGACAAAATATATTTTGAAGTAACATTACAGTAAGAATATAATTACAACAACAAGAAGAACATACCTCTTCTATTACTTCTTGGAGATGTTCAGTCAGGTCCAAATTCATCTTGTAATCTGTCACAACTTTGTCAAAGTCATTCACATGCTTTTGCAAATCCTCCATGGGTTCCAAAAGGTTGTTAATTTTATTACTTGGATAACTTGAGAATGAATCAGAAGTTTTATTATTAACTTTTTCCATTTTCTTCCTTAAAGCCTGTGGGGGGGGTGGTAAAGGTTTTTAAAAGGAAATTATATCCTTTCTTATGATGCCAGTGATAAAAAAGAATAACTTGGAGAAACTTGCTGCTTCCACCATTCTGATATCCTAAAATTATAATCATTGGAAAGGTACTTTGGAAGTAGGTTTTGTCCAAGATATCTTTTTCAGTCAGTATTTGCAAATAAACAAAAAACCTAGAAGTAATATAAATTATTTATGATTATCAGGAGCTCCAGAATCTATGGTGGACATTCTGGACATGTGTAAGGATGAGAAGGAAAAGAGGCAGAGGGCCTGCAAGCCACATTGGTACATATGCACGGACATGTGCTGAGGAATCATGGGAACGCATGAGCCTTGTGTGTTTGGCAGAAACTATTCCAGTGCTGCCTCAGCACATGCATCTCCACATGCATCGTGGGTGCTAGGTTACAGTGATGGGGCCAGAAGCTATGGGGTACTGTTGACCAGGGCGACCACACGTGCTGGTGATATATTGATGATGGTGATGGTGATAGCCAAGTGCAAGGGTCTTGAGTGATTTTAGAATAAGCTGAGTATGTTAACAGAGGGTTCCAGCCTGGTTTAAATAGTATGCAACATTTGCATGCACTGAAATATAACATGGTACCCCAAACATACACATATTTCTTCTGTTTTCATGTGTCAATTAGAAATGATTTGAAATTTAAAATTATGAATAAGCCAGAAAGCTCACAGAATGAAGGTGAGTTGATTTCAGATGATCAAAATTGTTTTCTGGGTAGAATCCTGCCATAAATAGTCTATGAAATCTTTCCTGTAAGTTAGTCCACTTAAAATCAGCATCACATTACTGTATACCAAAAAAATAACTAAAACATTTTCAGGAAAACCAACTCTGGATTATAGAAAATGAAGTTATTGTTTTTAAAGGGGAAATTAGATAAATCAAATACTATTTATTTCATTCAAGAAGTCAAATCATTATATAAACAGAAAACTACGTTTTCATCTCAATTCTGTAAAAAAGAAATATGTGTGGACTGTAATGATTTTGCACTAGTTGTAGTTACTCCCCCCCACACACACACACACGTGTGCATGCACACACATACACTGCTTTCTTATTACCTGAATTTTTTCAGCATACATATCAACTTGTTGGATTTGATATTGAAGAGTCTTTAGGTTTCGAGATTTTTCATTTTTCTTGGAGTAATTAAACTTCAGATTGTTGAATTTCTTTTTTATATCTTTGAATGACTCTTTAAGCTACAGTTTAATGAAAAATAAAATCATAATTTCCTTACAATTAGATAGACAATACTCATTGTTATAAATATAATAAATATTTCCGAACAGTCATCATCTTAAAACTGTATTCAGAATACTTTCAGTCAAAACTACTTTCTGATGTATGATTTTAAACTCAGTATAGTCACAGACTATCCCATTGGTTGCCAAATAAGAAAGTATCTAACATCTTGAACATAAACTTTTGCAAACTCAAATTGTCTTATTTGTATTTATTCGGTATAAAATTTGACACTCACTCCACTTTCTACATGCTAGTATTGTTCTAGATCTTTCTGTATCCTGGTACTCTCTCATAGTCATTATGTATAAAAGTTATTAAGGCTCCAAGGAGCTGTTGATGATGAAGAGGTCAATGAGAGCTTGACTTTTAGAATAGCTAGTACAGTATGTAAGATTTAGTGAGAAAGGAGTTTTATTTTCCTGGCTAAAGTTATTTCCATGAGCAAATTTTAGATGAGTTTTACTTCTTGGATGTAGGCCATTAACTTTGAAAATACAAACAAACAAATAAAAAAAACCCAAAAAAGAGTCATTGCCACCAAGGGCAACACTGACTTGTGTAGAGACAGGGCATATTATGACGGTCTTACAAACAGTTCATCTTTACCAGTGCACTAAGATTCTAAGCAAGATGGTACTTTTAAACATTCTCCTTTCTGTTGCTTCTACATATTCATGAGGGCTAAGTGTACTTCTAGGCAACTCTCACTTCCTATTATCAGCAAAGGGAAGCACAAAGAAAACATAAAACCTAAGGTTATATGGGAGCTTTTATGGCAAGAAGGAATCATGTCATGGTTGATAAATCCAAGTGATGGAAAAGAAAGTTAGAAATACATTAAAATTCTTTTCAATGATAGCAAACAAATAACCTGAGATATATAAAAGCCATGCACATGCTACATCTTAGATTTATAATACAGAAAAATACATCTGCCCTAAAAATGTATGCTTTCTCAAAATGCTCACTCCAAGTTTTCCATATTGTGGAAATAAAACATTGACTTCATCATTAACTCTTCTTGAAACTCTACAAAGTTTTGGCAGATCTGATTATATAGAAATTATTATACTTATGCATTTTTTGCATAGAACATACTGATACTCAATCAGTATTGATTTTTACATAGAAAATGACATTGTTTTATATTAGTTTTAGGCTACAGATAAAACCAAGAACAGAGACCATAAAACCACTTTAACAGATAAACCAACAATGTCCAGAAAGAGTGGAAAGAGCTGTAACTTCAGATTTAGAAAATGATTTCTATATCAGGAGATATTTAAAATATCCTATTAAGCTGGTATATTCATGAAATAGCCATTAAATATTTACATTCTGTGACACTTGATATTTTAATGTACATGTGTTAATTCTAGCAGGAAGGGATAAATGTGATATATTATATGAAATTGGAATGTACAAAAACTATATCCTGAGTTATTTATAGAAAACTGAGGTAGGCTCTTTTTATATCCCTAAATTGCATCTGCAACTATAAATTAATAAATACCCTATCTGAGGCCGCCAGAGATCGTTATTTAAAAACTCCTTTCGTGACAAGTTAGCTGTCTAGGTATTCTGCTTGAGATGATTACAAACGTGTGCGGATGGGGAGTGCACTGGCTGTACTCCAAGGTGGATGTACTGAATACCACTGAGCAGCACACAAAGTGCTTAAGATGGCCAGAGCAATGTCACCACAGTTTACCACCATTAACAACCATATTCAAGGTACGAGAGTGCATGCCTACAATCCCAGTACTCAGAATGCTGAAGGAGGAGGATCACAAACTCAAGGACAATCCAGAGTTCACAAAAAAAAAAAAAAAAAAAAAAAAAAAAAGAATAAAAAAGACATATTACAAAAAAAAAAAAAAAAAAAAAAAGGTTGAGGAAATGGCTCGGTGGGTTAAGTGCTTAATAGACAAGTGTGGGAAGCTGGGTTTAGATCCTCTAGAAAGCGTGTGAAACCAAGCATGGCGGCCTGTGTCTGGGATCTCAGTGCTCCCAAAGGAAAGATGGGCGGCAGAGACAGAAGTCCCAGAAGCTCATGGGCCAGGCCAGCTGGCCTGACAGACACAGCTGCACAGACAGAGACGCCGTTTCAAACAAGCTAGAGGGAGTGGACTGACATCCAAGGTTGTCCTCTGCCACACACACAACATCATGTGCCAGAGCCTGTACTCACTACACGAACATGCACTCACATGCAAATCATACCCACACAAAATGCAATAAGATAAAATAATAAAATAAGCATTACAGAGTAAATAAAGGTACACAGTCACGGGCAGGTGTGGACTGGAAATCACGATTTCCTTCCTTTCTCTAGCTACAGAAACATGGTACTATAGACTTCAGTCTAGAGGAAGGAAGAGAGATTCTACCATCAAAATTGCTAGCCAAAGGGTCTCATTTGCTTCTTCAAACAGGAAGGTGTAACATCTCCTTGAAGGCTGTCTGAGGAACGTAGAAAGACAGAGCCCCAACATTTTCATTCTAAACCATGAGCTTTCTAGTTTACTCTGGATTAAGAAATATCAGAATTATAACTGGTGAGAATGATTTCATTTCTGTATCAGCACGCATGCATTTCCACTGAAGATGATTTAGAAGGCCAAAGAATGTTCATGACACCATGGGTATGTGAAACGTGATAGCTTCTTTCTGACACATAAGCTCTGGCACTCTTTAGTCACACTGGAAATCTCAGTGCAAATCAAAACTCTTGGGCCTTTTTTAATGCAAATTCAAGACTACTGCATGCACAAGGAGGGGAGAGAATGGATGAACTACCTCTAGCATTAACAAATCCAGCCGCACCTCATTTTGGTAACCTGCACATTCCAATATGAAAACTTCATCTAATCCCCACATAACTTGGCATCATAGTTTTAAAGGAACAGAGTGCTATGCTTACTGGCCTGGTGTATCATTGTCCATGCAGCTGTTTCTAAGTTTAGTAAGCTTATCAGCAGTTGGGGGTGGTGGAGATGGTTAAGACAACTGCCCAGCTTGAGCATATAAGCAGCCACACATACCAGCAGCATGGGGACAGAAATAGTTTAGTCTTTACAAATCTTTAAATGCAAAAAAAAAAAAGAAAAAGAAAAAAAGAAATCTTTAAATGCTATAATTCACAGTGGTAAAATCTATGTATTAAGTATGTTAGGATTGTTTTCAGTGAGTAATTTGATTCTTCCCTCTTTGGACATGCTCAGCTCCCATGTGTGCATGGGATATGTGGACTAAATTTACATGGCTATAATTAGGAAAAAATACTAAAATTTAAAAACTGGTCTTTTTTTTTGAAACTACAAAAATTGTCCTCTTTCATAATTTCCCCAGTGAACGACAAGCCTCCTTTCAGAGCTAGGAATGAGAGATCGTCTATGGAGACAGAGGAGTAAGAGGCTCCTGACAAGCCAGGGTGGCTTGCTATTCTTAGTCTTGACTAAGCCGGTTGAGGCAGCTTTCACAAGAATGTATTATGTGGAAGTCTGGGGCTGGCAAGGCCAGCTGGTGTGAGGGACATGGGCTATTTAAAACAAAGACAATGGGTTTGCAAAGAAAACCTTGCATTAGAACTACGGCATACTTCTGGCCAACTCCCCAAACCCAAAATGAGCAGTCCGTTTTCATTTCTCTAGCATGCACTTCACAAGGTCCATTTCCTAGGCTCCGTTTGCCCATTCCAGATGAGAGAGCCTTCTGAGGCTCATTTTCCGTAATGAAAGGCTGTAATGTACCACCTCCCGGAGACGCTTGAATTTGAAATGAAGACATCCAAAGATTCAAAATCTAATCCTGATTTTGCTGCAAATATTAATGGAGGGCATTGGGTCTCCATGCTGGATAGATTTCTGGAGAAGTCTTTTTGGCCTTCTTCCATTTGGTAACCACAGCACACCTTCCTCAGCTTCAAGCCGCATAGCAACAGAAGTGAGACAACTTGGAACACAGAGACCTGTTCCAACTGCAGGTGGCAGCAGCAGTGAACATTATCCTGAATGTGCAGCATCTTCATAATGAATTTAACATATCTTATTTGTTCTATTTGGGGGTATGCTAACAATAATTTTGAATGTGAGCTGTCCATATTCTCCAGAAGATCCTATCTGATTCACAGATATCAAATACTACAATGCAAATGTTTGAACCTTCAGGATGAACATTTTCTGAACAAATTGTAATTTTTTTCTGTCCACTTATACGTGCCACCCAAATGCAGTTGGGTTGGGGCCTATTGGGCAGATGGCCATGGCTATGTGGGTTTTCATTGTTTCCAGACTCTTAAGTTTTCTGTGGACATTTGCAGTGTTACAGCCTGGCTCATGGTAGCCGCATCAAACAAATTTGCTGGATGAAGATAGTTTAGTATTTTTTTCTAAGAACAAGTTTGGATTGCAAATCTGAGAAATGAATATTGTCTGTTATTTTCTTCACAGTGGTGGCCCCCAGAGTCGCTTGTTCTCTAGGCAAATGTTTCTGTGCTCTTCCCTGCCATGATGGCTATCCATGCTCATTCTGTCGGGGCAAAGTGCCACACAATGGCGGGTGGTTTTCATCTTAGTGTGTGTATGTGTGTGTGTGTGTGTGTGTGTGTGTGTGTGTGTGTGTGTGTGTGTGTATGTGTGTGTGTGTGTGTGTTGGTAAAGCACCGTTCCTCGATTATAACCTATCACTCCTTATGAGTTTGTATGTCCGGCTCTCAGATGACAGATCCATCCAAACAACAGAATTTGAGGAATTCATGCCTGGCACATGGAATATATGCTAAATTCTTCCCTTCTTCACCTCTGACAGGAAAGATGTTGCTATCTTAGAGGAGACTTTCCAGAGTAAGGTAACATAATTGGCTGGTAGCTTCTTTGTGGAAAACTTATTTTGAGAAAATGGATTCTGTCATTGCTGTTCTTCCCAGAAAAGTAATTGTTTGTGACACAAAATATGAGCCTTAAGTTATAAATCCCCCCCTATCATCATGTAAATATAAGGGGGACTTTTTTTTTTGGTCAGTTTGCAAGAAGAAAATGTGTTTCCTACTAACACACCTTTCTAAGTGTAGCTATAAACAAGTGATATTCCTCGGCCATGTAATGTGGCTGTGGAAGTTTTTAGAATGCTTAGTATGTTAATGATATATTCACATGGCCAGGCAAGAAAATGCAAAGTGCTATTGAGCAGTTATGCACACAAATGTCTTCTTGCATGAAATGGGGAGGAAATGCCCTAAAATCTGGCACTTTGACAGCTGTGCTTCTCATGGGTAAATGTGAAGAAAACAATTTTTTCAAAAGTTTACTATGCATAAAAATATGCAAAGATAATGAAACACAAAAGACACAGTTACATGTCTTTAAAGAACGTCACATCCTATTTTAAAAAGTCACATTTAGAGAAGCTCCCATCCATTTGCCTGAAGGTACAAAGTCCTTCTGTAAAGACCTGAGTGAAGAGCACTAAGTTCCAGCAAAGTCAAGAGAAACAAATCAAGTGTGACCAATCATTCCTCCATCCTGTCACAGATGCATGAAAAGACAGGAATAAAGTGGTAGAATGGGACTCTACTGAGTGGCTGTTTGATGCTGGCTAAGCACACACCAGGCATGTTCATGTCCAGATGAATCTTGGCCAAGGTTGACCCCAAAAGACTTCAGACAGAAGCTCGGTAGTCTTAGTGCACTGTTAAGATGAGTCATATGAAAAATGAAGACATTAAGCCAGATATTCTCCAAAGTCTATTACAATTCCATGTCTGTGAACCTTCGTACACTACTTTGATCATACTGAATCAAAACAGTGTGTTTTGTGATCAACTTTAAAAATCAAATGTTAAATATGGTCTAGTTCCCTGGCAAAATGTCATTCATTTGTTTATACTTAACACACTGCATTTCAATTTTTGTTGTTTTGAGATGGGGTCTTATGTAGCTCACATTGACCTTGAACTTGCTCTGTAACCAAGACTGACATTGAACTCCTGCTCTCCCTACTGTTACCTCCCAAGTACTGGGCAAACAGGCATGTGCCACCTTGCCTGATTTCATTTTATATAGTACTCTAGATACATGTGTCTAAACAAATTATACCTCTAGATGCCAAAGGTTGTCACCATGGAAACATCAGTTGAGTTCCCTCCTATAGTCACAGTTCAAAGTAGAATACGACATTATCTACATTTTATTTTACTAAGGGGCATCGAAAACGTTCTTTCCAATTATTTTCCCACTAATTTGGTGACTGTAAAATCCAGCATGTGGATGCTGCACTTCCACATGCCTGTCATGTCTCCACAAAACCAAAACCAAAAGCACGAAGAAAAAAGTAGAAAAGACCTAAGATTTCCAAAGGTCTTTCGAGTGTGGAAATAGCGCCTGAAGATGAATTAGATTAGAAGTAGAAACAAGAGGGCACTCTACTTCTCTTAGCAGTGAAGACCGCGTTCAAGTGCTCCCTGATTCCTGCATCAAACCCATTTGTATCATATGCATCTGCTCGCTCATTCCCGAGGTGGTACAGACGATCATGGAGCATCCCTACTATGACTGGAAGGGTCGTCTGTCATCTGGGCTGGCTCTCAGGGAAAGTTCATGAGGCTGTCCCTATAAATAGAACTGCTGGAAGGGCCTGGGCAGGGGAACCCAGCTTCACAAATGCCACAGCTCTTTGGGGACATGGAAACCCAGCCAGGCAGGGCTGGGAACACACTTAGCCTGCTCCCTGTGTGTTCTCTGAGTTACTCCATCTCTGTAGGGAGGGATGTTTGGACAAAACAAGGAAGGAAGAAAATGAAGAGGAGGAAGATGAGAGAGGCAGGGAAGAGGAAAAAAAGACAAATTTTACAGAAAGATAATATTTAAAAATGGCCACAAATCTTTTATAGCCTGGGAGAACAAAAAGCTCGGGTTGATTCTTGAGCAAGAGCAAACAGACCTAGCTCAAGTGTAGACGATAGTACACGGAACCAGGAAAGGCTGCCTCTGTGTTGAGGGCAGGCTACAGTAGGAATTCACCAGAATGTGACCCAGACCAAGAGGAGAGAGCATGCAGTGTTGGAGCCCACTGCTGAAGTGACAGCCATGTCAGCTGCTTCTCCCTGCCCCCTCCTGGTAGGCTGGATCCCAGCAGCTACTCCCGATCTCCTCTCCTCTCCTCTTCCTTCCAGCCCGCTCCCTCTTGCACCTGCCTGTGACCTGCAGGAAGGGTGGGCACTTCAGCACAGACCACCATTAAAGCTTAATTACCCATCCTGTAACCTGTGAGTTAATGATTCTTGACACCTGGTAGGCCCAGATTATGCAGAGTGGGCATAAAGCAAAAGTTCAAGAAAGTTAGTTAGCTGCCTTTGCCCTCGGCCACTTTCCTAGTGGACTCAAAGATTTTACTCCCAATGGAGACAGATGTGGAGTCATCATTACCTTGATGTGTTTTCCCTAGAACAAGCCCATGGGTGGAAGACGACTATGCTCAGCACTAGACAATCATGGAGACAGATGTGGAGTCATCATTACCTTGATGTGTTTTCCCTAGAACAATTCCATGGGTGGAAGATGGCTATGCTCAGCACTAGACAATCAGCACACATCCCATGAATGAAAAGCTTCACTGGAGGTGGAGGCTGGAAATGCAGGAGGGGGGCCGAATACATGTCAGGGCTGAGAACAGTTGATGGAGTTAAGGAGAAATTGTGTTCCTGGGGATGTAAGGGCATGGAAGACCCCTTCTCTCTTTTCTTTTCTCTAAGAGTTCTTTTACCAAAAAAAAGCCACCTGTTCACGTCAACATGAGGTGAGTCACTTGACTTTGGGAAAATAATCTGTGGTCTCTGAAGCAAAGAGCCTGCTCCATGCCCTTAGCACCTCCTTCACCCTGAGTCAATGCTACTTAAATAGAATGTCAGCAGGCTGGAGCAAGCTGCCACCCAGGGCACTGCCACCTTTCCCTCTATGCCATGAAAAAGCTGTGTCCACTCAAGCAGGATGAAACACACACACACACACACACACACACACACACACACACACACACACGCCCCAAAAGGAAAACAACAACCAAGACCCACAGCCTTCGGTCTTGTATTCAATGGTTTTCTATACATGGACACCATCTCAACTTCATCATATTTGGGAGCTTGAAGTTGATTCAAACTTTGGGCACCCCAAGGCTACTGTGAGACTAAAAGGACATGAGTAAGAATAAAGTGTTCTGATTCTCTCTGTGTGTCTCTCTCTGTCTCTCCGTCTCTGTGTGTGTGTGTTTGTGTGTGTGTGTCAGTGTGCAGTGTGCAAGCATGCATGTACATGCATAGACACTGGGACACACGCTTTGGGCTCAGCGTGTCCTTTTTCAAAGCCTCACCTCATCGATCTCATCTCTTGTGGTGCAGTACTCCAAGCTGCAGGACAGGACCTGTTCGTATTCTTTGGCATTGGCACTCCAGATCCTGCTATCCAATTCAAGGACCTCCAGCTGCCGCTGTAGGTTCTTTGCAGAAAGATGGGAGTAATTCTGGAAATGAAGGATGTGAAAATAACAAAAAGAAGCTGTGAAACGGCCACATGACAACATACCATTTGCCTGCATTATGATGCACACAAATAGCTTTAGAAGAGATATAGGGTCCCAATTTATTTTACCCTAAACATATTTGAATCTAATTATTTTAGAAAGAAGCCAGAAACTCAACATTATGGAATAGACATTTCCATTCTTGAATCTCATCATCATCCCCAACTCCTCAGAGACGCCATTCATGATAAGGTCTAATTTTTACTTCAAAAAGCATAAAATATGCATTAGAGACATTCTGCCTGGGTGCTGTAATTTTCTCGTCAACTTGAGTTTAACCTCAGGTTCATTATGCAAGCTCTCCAATCACTATCTCGCGCAGAGGGCATGCTGGCAGCAAGGCCAGAGAGGGCTGGGGAACAATTTACGTTATTTGTGCAACGTGAGATCCTACTTCCCTTTTACTTTTAAAAATAAATTTACAAATGTAATAAAACCCCTTAGAAAATGTTGACACTGGCAAAATCGGATTCTATTAAGAGCAGCAAATTCTTCTATTCTGCCTTTTAACTTAAAGAATAGACGCTAGGCTAGCCATATCACATATAGCCTAGTGGGTATCTTATATGAACTTTAAAATGAAACTGGACCTGTGGTTTTTATTAATAATGAAGTCAACATAGCCTTTCCTCCCTCCAAGTATGGATTTGGAGAATATTTAAAGCACTGGAGTTCAGTGCATTAGTTATGAACTTTGGGTCAGGAAATACATCCTGTTCTCTTAGGCTCCTCTCTTGAACCTGATCAGTGGTATAAAGCAGCTACAAGAGCCAGAACCCAGGTCACAAGCAGAGGGCCTGGGATCCTCACTCTGGGCTGTTATGGATGACTGGCCACTGTCTCTGGACTGCAGCTTCTTCCTCTCTACAATGGGGCTGCTGGTCTGGCAAGACTCCAGGACCCAGGAATCTTCTGGATCTGTAATACTGAAGCACCATTTTCTAGTGGAAATACAGTATGAGCCATGGAGTAGTTGAACAACTTCCAATAGTCTCATTGAAAAGCAAAGAAGAAATAAATAAAATTAACCTTCATAGCATAGTTTAGTTAACCATGTGTGTCCAAATATTATCATTTGTAATATATATCTAATATAAAAGTGTTAAGATTTTGATCACACATCTTTGAAGTCTAATATGCATATCATAGCTTGAATTTTTCTTGGTTAGGCCTAAATTTCCATCAGAAACACTTGATTCAGATTTAGATTTCTCAAAACTTACAGTTTCTAAGGTAGAATCACATGCCCAAGTAGTTTCTAACCATATTGAGAAATTTCCAACAATGATATTGAACATCAGCTTTTACAGTTTAACTTACTTCAAATTAAAGTAAAAAGTTTAGGTTCTTGGTTGCATTAGATACATTTCAAATGCAGAAACCTACTGTCCATCTGAGACCATGGCTCTATTTTAAATTTACATGAGAACAGTATGTATTAAAGAAGGTTTTTATGATCAGATTTTCTCCTTAGATTTTATTTGTTTGTTAACAATGGTAGAAACTTAGAATTAATAAGCACCCCAGTGATATCATGTTTTTTTTTATTTAACATACTGGGGCTAGGGGATGGCTTAATAATGATGCACTTGGTTAGTATGTATGAGGTTCTGGGTTCAAGAGCCAACACCATACCCCAAAGCATCAATTCAAATTTAACACATGCTAAACAATCTGCCTGCTTCTTTCACAGTGCAGAGGTAGCAGTGATAATGCACCAAGATGCTTACAGCCTGTTGTAAGGATGAAATGATGTCCACTCCTATGGAGAGGGCCAGCTGGTGGAGATGCTCTACTTGTGCCCGCCTTTCTTGAGAACGGCCCAGTTGCATCTGGATCTCCTTAGATCCTCCCAGTTCCATGGGCTGCGCTAGAAGCTCCGGTTCTCTCGATTTGATGAAACGCATCAGCTGGAATTCAGAACATTAGTACTGAACCTGCTTTTTTCCAAAGTCTGTTTTCCAAAATGCTTTACTCGCTTATGAAAGGCTCCCAGCCCATCCAGAATCATTAGTCCTATGGATACAGATACGCACTGCAGTACTATGAATCCAACAGGATTACTTTGATCAGTTAACATTTTCAGTTCTTTGAAAGAAGGACATATATTTTGGGCCCATAACCTCAAACTTTAGCAAGATCTTGGTCTGTGATTTAAGTAAACTCAAAAGCTGTTTTTAAAAAATATTTTCCGATTAATATGTGTGAGTATTTTTGCCTGCACACACGTCTCTGTACTAAAGGCATACAGTTACTCAGAGGCCAGAAGAAGGCGCCGGAGTCTCTGACCTGGCATGGTTGTGAGCCACCAGGAAATAACCAATAAATGGTATGTATTGAGCACTCCATGATGACAGGCTCTTTTTTTTTTTTTTTTTTTTTTTTTTTTTTTTTTTTTTTCGAGACAGGGTTTCTCTGTGTAGCTTTGTGCCTTTCCTGGAACTTTCTTTGGGAACCAGGCTGGCCTCGAACTCACGGAGATCCGCTTGCCTCTACCTCCCGAGTGCTGGGATTAAAGGCATGCGCTACCACCACCTGGTGCTGACAGGCTCTTGAGATGAAACAATAAAATAAAAGAAAGAAAGAACTTGGTTTTGAGCACTCTGCCTCCCAAGAGCTAACGCTTGAGTTGGGAAAATAAAATCTAGTTTCATTAAAAAAAAAAAAAATAGCAGTCATGATCTAGAGGTGCTAGATGTAAGGACTAGTGATTGTTGTGGGAATTTAGAATAGAGAATCACTGCAGGGAAGGGACAGGTTGCTGGAAGGAAGCATGAGGTTTATTCTAACAAAGAGAAGAGGAGGATCTGCCAGGAAATGCCAAGTTGACAGTCAAGGCTTAGACGGAGGAATGCAAGAGCCATACTCAAAGGACACGGGAGAGCACAGCCTGGCTGGAGCAGGAAGCAGGAGAGAGGTACAGTGCGAGATAAATTAACCATCGGGGTGGACAATCCTCTTAGGCCAAGACAAGTGATTTGGCTCTCATTTGTTGCAAAATAACAACATTTTAATTTAATCTTATAAAATCCTGCAACCTTCAGACAACCAGAGTAAGACTTACTTCCTCCTTGACTTGGTGGAACTGAATTGTCTTGTATAGGATTTCCTCATAATCCTGGATTCGCTCTCTCTGCCTCTCATGGAGATGAACAAGGTCCTTCAGTTGTTCAGACTTCTCCTTCGAAGGGGCTCCCTGACCAGTTAACACTTCCCATTCTTTCATGATATGCTGAACCTCGTCATGCAGTTGCTAAAAAGCACAAAAGCAATGCAAAAAGTGCAGCTTTGAGTTTTTATTTTACAGTGAAGAATCTGATTATCTAAACAATGAGTCATTCTCTCGTTTGTTAACAGGTACTTATGAGCCTTCTCAAAATCCAGATTCTGTACTTAATGATGGGGCTATCCAGACACATTGTTCAGTTCTTATCTTCTCAGAACTTTATAAGCAACATGGCGGGGGGAAGCAGGCGTTTCAAAGATAGATGGTAAAATGGAAAGCCATGTGTGTCTGTGATATACCAAATGTACTGGGCTCCAGCTAAGTAAATATAGTTTTTCTGAAATTTAATATAGAGTAGGATTGTGTGGTATGATAAGGACACCGAAAAGAGAAGTGTAAAAATACATCAGGGGAATTACTTGTGCTCTGTGATGAAGGAATGATCAGAATGAACCACCAGCTGAACAGCACACAAGATACACAGCTTCAAAGTAGTCAGGCCATAATCCACAAATAGCCTCCACACGGAGAAGGGATAAACTGCCTTCCCTTTTAGTCAGCACTGCTCAGACATCCCATATAGGAATCCAGACCCCGGAGGAGAGCTTGCAAAGGGCAGATTACTTAAAGAGAATTCTACTGCTATCCTAGGAGCAGATCTCATATCAAAGGGAAAAGCAAAGGAAATGCTGTAGGCTAAGGAGATAATTTTCAGAAGACTGGCTTGCATAAGATGGTCAAGTTCAAATCAAGTATATGGACCCCAAATAGATGGTGCATATCATGATGGCAGAGCTAAATAACCTTAGCCATGGCTCTCCGTTATCCATCCATACATACATGCACCAAAAGATGTGGATGTGTACCACACAGGATATGGCCAATTGGGCTAGTAATAATTAATGAGAGCTTGAACAGAAGAGTTTGCTGTGGATAGTGACACTATATATGTCTATGTATGTGTATGTGTATGTGTATGTGTATATAGAGTGTAGTGATTATAATTCATATATGTTTTTCTTTAACAGAACAAGTAGGTATTTTCCAAAGGAATCTCCAAACATCTAACTCTGGAATCCCTTAAAGTCAATACATATTAAGTGGTAACAAATGGATGCAACTTAGTCTTTTAACAAAACACCCCAATCCAATAGTATGTGTTTGTGAGTCACGAATTAGAAGATAAAGACAAAAAGATCAAGAGTTCAAGGTCACCCTTGGCTATATAGCAAGTTTGAAGTCAGTCTGGGCCACATAAGACCCTGTTTGAAAAAAAAACAAATAAATAAATGAATAAACAAGTAAATAACCTAGACCACATAGGGCACTCTGACAGTTAACCAGCGTTGGCAGTTCTGTCGCGGAGAGACAGGGATATGGAGTGGAGGATGAAGAGGCAAGGGCCTGAGACTGACCCATGGTTTTATCTCCCACATCCAGAGGGCTTCCTTGGAGAGTGAATAGAGCCTACGGAAAAAAAAATTATCAGGAAGGGAATGAGGTAGGAGCTGGGATGCTGGAGTGACAGTGATTTGGGTACCAATGATGATAGAGCTTCCAGGTCAGAGGTTGTTGATTTTGTTCTGAGATGCCTTAATTTAAAACATTCCCTTAGAAAATAGTGACTTTATGATAAATGCACTAATAAATTAATTAGAAATATAAGTTAAATTCATGTAAGATGAAAATATATTCAGGATTCAGTATGGGAACAGTAAGAAAATGTGTTGTTACAAGGGATTTTTAGACCAAAAGGGTACTTTTGTTAAAGGGAAAGGAAGTTTATAAGGCAAGCTGGAACTGGGAAGTTTGGAGAGATTTTTTTTTTTTCATTCACCCGAACCCATGCATTCACATCTTCACCTGAAGCTGAGGTTTCATGGCACTCCATCTTCTTTGCAGATCTGACATAGTCTGAAGGCTCCCTCCAAGGTCAAGTGCAGAGACAGGCAGAAGAACTTCATGAAGAAGTTTTACATTGTGAGTAGTCTGAAACAGACATTGGCAATTACTTCAGTGGTGACATGCTGTGCCATTAAGCTTCTCAGCCCCTGCCAACACTGACCCTCACCAGTGTGGTCACATAAGGTCCTTAATTTCCTGCGATTTTTATGTTTTTGGTTTCTTTTTTTTTTTTTAACCATGGTAACATATAACAAAAGGCACAGTTTTCACCATTCCTAAGTGTACAATGAAGACATATGTATACAGCTATCACACCATCCTCCTACAGACTGCTTTCATCCCCATGAACAGGAACTCTGAACCTGTTAAACAACTCCCCATCCCCTCTCCCTCTTGCATCCCCGGGTAGCATCCATCCTGATCTTTGTCTCTGTGAATTTGGCTGCAGGCTTGCAAATAAGCAGAACCACACAATGTCTCTCTTTTTGTGTTGGATCATTTCACTTGGCTTTGAGGCTCTATCACATTGCATGTATCAGAACTGATTCTTTGAAAGGTAACATTCTACATTCCTTTTCACTTGTTTGTTTGGGTGCTGGGGTTCAAATCTAGAACTTCATGTATGCCAGGTGGTCATCCTGCCACTGAGCCATTGACCAGCCCATCTCCTTACCTTTTTAAGTTTCTCTTTGAATGTTTCCCACTTCTGTCTCACAGGCTTGCCTTCTGTGGCTTTGAGGTACCATGTCATCCGAAGATGGCCGAGTTCTTCCCTTGCGGTCGTTTGCTTTTCCATGATGTCCTTCACAATGTGCATTTCATTTTTAACACTTAATATCTCATTCTCTTTTGCCTGTTGAATTAATAATCCATGTAATAGCTTTCTTTCCTACGACATACATTTTTCTTTTGCATTCAGCTATTTTAGGTGGCAAGTACTTCATCACACCAGAGCAGGATACAGTTTAGACTGATAAGCCTGAGCTCGTGTGCAGAGGCACAGTCATGTGTTTAGTCCTATATTCTCTGCTTGGACATCAGGTGGAAGATCTTTAAAGACCTCAGTAGTATTTTAGGGGTTTTGGGCTGGGGGAATCTAATAATAAAATGGTATGTTCTGTAATCATGGTTTATAAAAATTAATCATTAAAGACATTAGACAACTATAGTGGGAATAACTCTACATTATATTTTTATATACAATATAATTGAAGTTGGGGTATCTTTTACATTTTATTAAGAAGCTATTAAAGTATAAAATATTCTTCAATGTAATATTAGCTGGGAATTGTATTTTATTGATGGCAACTACAATCATAAGGGTCCAGTGGTCTGAGTAAGGTTGAGAAAAGGCAAGCTATCATAAGACTTGCTGAGGGCTAGCCAGCAGGACATAAGAAGTGATTCTGTATTCGGCAGAGTTAGTATTTTGTCCATTCCAGGAGATCAATAATTGGCCTTTAGTCTATTTGGTAAACATTGTCCTAATTTTACTTCAGTATAGCACATGGAAAATTTTGTGGTAATGCACTCTAAAAAAAGCATTAAATTATCCATTTGTTTTATATTTATATTCATTCCTCATGTACTGTTCTCTGATCTCTTGCTTTCTGGATGCCTGGTAGCAAGAAGGCTAATACTTGACAGAATTATCAGTCTTCACCACTGTAAATTAATAAGTTGGCATGTTCATCTGCCAGAATTCTGACCAAAGTCAATTAATCTGATTCAGACAAACTTTCGATGGAAAAAAATGAATTTCAAGATTCAAAGATATCAATCACAGAAACACACTCAACTCGACAGAAAGAGGCAGTTTCCATCTGTCTACGATCAACCAAGACCCTCACCATGACACATTAAAAATCTGCACTTACAAGACTAATGATGTACAGCTAGGAAGAAGAAAATCATCCTCATCAGCAATTTCACCTATCAGAATGTCTATACATCAGTAAAGTTAGTTTTTATGTCGACTGAATATTTTATCAATAAAGAACTTGTCACTTGACTATTGAAAAGATTGACAATGAGGAAGTGAAAATATAAGACTATGAAGAAGTAGTGGGAAGATATGGGCTATTTCCAGGATCAGTCTGTTGGGACTTTGTCATATCCTGCTAATTTTTACAGAGATTCAAGACATGAGTTTGGTTCCATTTCTTGTTGCAACCCATTCCACAAGAAGACAACACTATCTGATTACTCATACAGGAGTGGCATTTGCTAAGAATTCACCAACCAGGATAAAAGACAGGACTGCAGGTCAAAAGGCAAGAGGAAAAACTCTACATCAGAAACACCTCTAGATGCAGGTAACAGAGGTCATGGAGGGGGGACACCCTCTAGACACCCTAGGTTAGTATGGTCCAAGAAAGTGTGAATGTGAAAGAAAACCTCAACAGCTATATCTCATTTTAAAACCACCTGAAATTTCCAAAATTGAAAGGATTTCTAAAATCCAGCAGTTAAAGGACTACACAAAAATATACAATTTGCAAATAATTTAATTCCCTTGTAATATAAATTAAAAATATAAATTAGAGATGAAAGGAGATATACTAATACAAGCAAATATGTAAAAGGTAAAAATAGACTGAGTCAATGTTTCAAATGAAAAATAACTTAGTATTTGTATATTAAACCACCTGTATAATATAGGAACATAGATAAATTGCTTGACAATATTTTTTCTGATGTTTAATGAGGGTGGTATCTAATTTATAAGCATTTAATGAATGTTTTGGTTCTACACAGGCTGATCACTAATATTCTTCAAACAACAAAAGTTGAAAAAAAAAGATGGTCAAATAGATGAGGGCATTCAAATCTGATTCTGGCAAGTGATTTCTGTCCCCAGATTCATATCCCAGCTCTCAAGAAAATGGCAAATGTCAGTCATTCTTAAACATCTCTAGAAACAAGGTCTAGACTATTAGAGAAAGGAAAATGGCCTGATTCTCAAATGGGAGTGATTCACTATACAGATTGGTAAGTTTCACATTGACATCAGTGGGGTTAGATCTTGCTTACAGAGCACTGGAGTATTTGAGAAGAATGCCTCAATCACTGGGACTCAGAGGAGTTTTGCCAAACCATAGCTAAGTGCCATACAGTGTACAGGGGAGTAAGTCCTTAGGGCATCTTATTTGAGGAAGTTTCCCGTTATGGAGTTGTGTGTGTGTGTGTGTGTGTGTGTGTGTGTGTGTGTGTGTGTGTGTGTGCGCACGCACACACGCGCGCGCGGGTGCAGTGCTGATTAGAGTGAGACATATTGAAAGCATTAATGTTTTCTTTTTTTAAACTGTTAGTCAATAGATTACCTCAGCAGCTGGGATGTCAATCTTCCTTTTAGACATTTTTGCTAAAGAAGTAATTACAGCTATAAAAGATTGGCTTGATAAATCTACAGAATGAAGCCCAAGAGAAACAGTTAATAGACCCAAATTAGTTTAACAGGATGAATCATAGGCTAAGGCCAAATGAAATCAGGCAAGAGATATACAGGCCTACAATCTTTGTGGAAAAGCGGAACAGCTGATCTAGACTGAATCTAGGATAGGAAGGTCATGTGAGCGCACTGCATCCCTGCTCTAGTAGAAGAACAGCAAGGAGAGGTTACTGCTTAAAGGGTTTGCCCCTCATGTCTCAACTACAAGAAACATGCCCGGTTGACTGTAGTTCAGCTTCTGATTTCATTTCATGAATGGGCTTAGCAAGTAGAAAATCTTAGCAAAGCAGATCAGCCTGGAAGAAGAAATTAAACTACACATCCTAAAAGACAAATTTGTAAATGTGTAGTTGTAGAAGAGACTCGTATTAAACATATCTGCTGCTTTCAATGTTGGAAAGAATTTCATATGTAAGAGAAATTACCTACACATCGTTTTGTGCCTGTGTAGCTACAGAGGCTCAGAACTAGATATGAAGATGGACTTGTTTAACATTAAAAAAAAAACATTCTTTTTAACAGCTAGCATTTTTCCAACAATGAAATGAGCTGGCTTCATTGGGAAAATTCGTGAGGTTCTGAGGGAGAGGTGAACTAACAATGTTGTAGGACTTCTATAGGCAACGGGAGACATAAAGGTCCTAGGATAGTTTGCTTATTTAGCTCAGGAAAACCAGGCGTTGGCTGTAGCTCTAAATGCTGTGGAGCTTTGCTCTCCAAGGATTCGGAGAAGAGGAGGCGTCAAGGGGAGATATGAGAACACATGCAATATGAGCACGGAGGGAGGGGATACTGAAAGTGCAGTGACTGAAGCCAGGATGGGAACAGGGAAGCAGTGAGGACGGAGGGTTGGAAGTAGTTTCAAGCAAATAAAATCAATCTCTGGAAACCTGCTACTTTGTAAGCTAATTAAAAATTATAGTTTAAAAGGGATCTGTTAAAATGAGAAGGAATTCTTTAGAACAAAGATTTATCACCATTATTGTCTTTGGTCCTTGTTGACCTTGCTGTCAACATAACTCAAAACTTTGGGATAGACTTCTAAGGACTCTACATAATAGCATTTTGAATCAGAACAGCTAAAATGGCTTTCTTGTGATACAAGGGCTCTGCGACCACAAGGCTTATAAATGTTGGGCTTCAGAACTAGCCTAGCTTGAGTGAAGTTGGAAAGACCACCCTCTGCCAGCACTGCTGATTAATGGACAAGTTGAACTTTTGAATGTCTGAGTTTGACTTTGAGGATAATATCTAAAAAGGCATTGGCTCACTTAATGTTATTCTCACCATACTCATTAAGTTAAGGAACTCAAGCCCTAAGTCTTGGGTCAAAAAGCTCTTCTTTAAAAACAGCTGCCACCGCCTCTCAGCAGAGTCAGAGCAGTGCTTGACTTCAGCATCCTCTTGTTCTCTCTGAGGGATTTCCATCTGATAAAATTCCTTTAGTCTCCGAAGCTGCTCCTTCACCTAAAATAAGGAGGAGGCAGACAGGAGTTAAGAAATCTTTTAAACAAAAAGAACACAGATTCCACATGAAGACTGTATAAAATTGAACTGAAACTACATTTTTCAGTATCCTTTCAATAACTATTGACTATTTTCAAGTTACTGAAAAACATGAAAATCTGCTTTCATAACTGACAGACAGGACTTCCTCTGGGTAGCAAAGTGAGTTGATAAATTTATTGCCAATCAGAAATATTTATTGTACCCCACATTATTTTATGTGCATTTTACAATTAGAATAATTTATTTCAGGTGGCTGCTCTGTTTAAAACTGAGTTTTATAATAAAAAGCACAAATAAAAATCAAGGAATGCAAATCATGAAAAAAAGTAATGTAGCAAAAGACAATTAGTACTCAGCATATTACAATATTATGATTCATTTATTTTTAATGTAATATTTTATTAATATTTTAGAATTTAATACAATATGCTTTGATCACATTCACCACCAACTTCTCTAATTTTCCCAGATCTGGCCCTGTCTCCCCTGCCCCTTCCAACTCTTTTCCTCATCCTTGTTTTATAAATATAATCTACTGAGTCCAATTAATGCTACTCATATATACTCATGGGTGTGGGACCATCCACTGGAACATGGTCAACCTACCAGCTACCCGCTTAAAGAAAACTGACCCAGGGCTATAGGGATGACTCAGTGCTTAAGAACAATGGCTGCTCTTCCACGGGAAGAGCACTTCCCAGCAATTCCCAGCACTCATGAGGTAACTCTCAGCCATCTGTAGCTCTAGTTACAGGGGATCTTATGCCCTCTCGGACCTCCATAGATACCCAGCATGCAGGAGATACACAGGGATACATGCTGGTAAAACAGCCTTGCACGTACATATGCAATACAATACATCAATAAATAAAAAGAAAACCGACTCTCCCCCCACCCCAGTAGCCACCACCTATCAATAGCTCCTCAGTTAGAGGTAGGAGCTCCTGAGTCCTCCCCACGGCCCCATGCTAGAACATTGACTGGCTTGATTCTACAAACTACTGTGAGTTCACAAGTACAGTGATCCTGTCACGTCCAAAGAACACTGTTCTCCTACAGGTCTCCCTGACCCCTGTCTCTTCTGATCTCTCCTCACCCTTCATGCATTGGGAGGGGTGGGTGAAGCATATACCCATTTGTGACTGAGCGCTCTACTGTACAATTTATTTTTAATCATGGTCAACTAAAACGAAAGGGTACAAATAATGACAAATTTTCTGTGGGAACATTAATATTAAATACCTTCACAGGCTAATCTTATTAAGACATACTACTTTGCCTCCCTAGAACTACATTTTAGCATTTGCTAACCAATGTTAGCAGTACTCAATTATTTTAAATTACCCTCCTGAGCAGAGTTAATATACAATCAAATGTGTAGCTATAGATTAACAAGTCATGGGGTGATACAGAGTTAGTAGAAAGCATTTGGAACTAATTTGTATGCCTTTTAAATAATATTTAATGACTAATAAGACAAGACTGGGGAACTTGTATGTTACAAAAGCCATGGAAACACAGTATGAAATTTCAGGCAATCGTCACTACACTTCGAAGGTTTTAAGGTCATTCTTAGTTGAAATGAATTCAGGACAGTCAGCACTAGCTCAGGGTGAGAGGTGCTTTCCTGATTTCCACTCTTGCCCTGCTTATGACTGTTTCTTAAGCACATACCATCTTTTCCTTAACTTTCTTCTATTTACCCCTAGTGAACTACACAAAAGGCTGTTATGTCCGTGGAGCATTCTAAGATACCCTACTAAGAATCGTTTATTTCTTTGGAGACCAAAGTTAGTTCTGTGAGAAAAAGGCCAATAAGCACATTGTTAGAACACAGGTATGTTTGTGCACACACCTGGTGCATTATAGGGATGGGAAGGGGACAGCAGCTCCGTGTGGAGTAAGTTCAGAAAAACACCCCAGCACGTGACATTTGGTCTGTCCCTTTCTAGGGTAAAGAGGGAAGGGAGGAGGCTGCAGATGGAAGGAAGGAACTGGTGTGAAAGCCCGCGAGGGCAAGCACTGGCTGCATCAGGGGAAATGCATGCTGTCAGTGTGAACGGAGTGCAGACTGTCCAGCTGACTGGCGAGGAGTCCAGGCAGACGATCGTACTGGGATAAGACTGGTCAGGAAGTTTCACCTTGCTACTGTTTCACTGTAGCCAGCGGAATCTTGACATATTCTCACCAGTTTGATGCAGCCAACAGTGGTCAAGTGATGAAGGCTTGGACTAGGCAAACCCCAGAGCAAATTGGGAGGAAGAGGGATGCAGAAATCTCTGAGGTCATCATAAGGAAGTGTGGTCTTTGAAACAGGAATGGAAAGGGTGACGGAAGCTGTGATGTTTATTAGCTGCCTGACAAGGTACGCCTAACTTCTCCAAGCCTCAGTTTGCTTCACTTGTAAAATGATGGTAATACTGGGTAGCTAAGACACAGAAACATGGACCACAACGAAATCAGGAATTACCGCATGGGGCCTGACACAAAGTAAGTGCTCACCAAGAAATGGATTAGAGAAGATACTGAACTCAGGACCGACTAAATCACCCACTAAGGTTCTTCATAAAGAGTTGGGACAATACTGAAACTGGCGTGCTTCAATGGTTGTACAGTTCCATAAATACACTAAACATCACTGCATTGAAACATAGTGAATTTTATGTTCAATAAAGTATACCTCAATAACTTTCACAAACACTAAAGGAGACGAAAGTAGGCAGCTGAGTGAAACTCGAACAGAGTGAGGGCTGAAAATACCACATTTCAGTTTCTCATAGTAGGGGTCTCATAAGAGACGCATCGTGCCAAGGAGAGTCGACACATGGCAGGGCTGACAGGGGAGTGAGGTGAATCGCAGTGGGGTGAGGTCTATGGAGGATGAGCAGGTAGAGGAATGCCATCTTCCTTCCCACTCTAAGAATTTACACTGAAGAGAAGGGAAATGATGGAGGGACGGATTTGGTGAGAATAAAACTGTAAGTATAGACCAAGCATGGAAAGAAGCAATGGGAAAGGCAGGTTTGAGAGCCAGACTTCAAAGCAGACAGGCTACACAGGGAGAGACTGTTACTGATCAGGGCTAGGCAGGGCTGGACCACAGCGGGATGGGTGAATACACCAATACGTCCTCAAAAAGAAGGAAGTCCAGAGAGTGAGCCTCAACCATCTCGTTTCCCATAGTGTTTGGATTCCAAAGACATCAGCTGGGATTTGAAGATGGAGCCTGAGAATCCCTAAGCAATATAAGCAAGCCAGGGAGCAGAGAAAGCCACCCATAAATTAGTAACCACACCAGTCCTCAGAATTGTCTGCCCTTCTGGAGGAGTGCCTGGAAGCTTGCACAAAGAAGCTGAGAAGAGTGTTGGCTGACCAAGTGTTAGGAGTTGGCAGGGTTCAAATGGGGGAGAGAGGAGGGAGTTGGTTTCCAGAGCAGAATGGGAATGGATAGCCAAGAGCAAATGAGGGATTAAAAAAAGAAGAAGAAGGCAGCCAGCAGCATAGGTAAGTGACAGATGCCAGCAGTGCCAGGATTAGGACAGAAAGCTCTATCAGACAGGAAAGGAGATTGAAAGTGGGAAAGCTGAAGGACATGTGGGGTTTTTAGGACGTGTTGTTATAAAGCCGAGGTTCCATTTCTGCGGAGGAGCTCAGACCCAAATGCCGGAGTGGGACAAAGAAGGAAATACTTAACAGGATGCTAAGGAGGCGCATTTGGGCCACGATGATGCAGAGAATGAGCATTGCTTTGTGGCTGCTCTAACATCAAGGCTTCAGATCGGGTTCGGAGGGTGTACTGTCAGGACAGTGGGAGGAAGACAGGATGAGGTCATCGGGAAGGCAGAAGTGAGAAAACGGAGGCCAAACGTGCTACCTAACTTTAGACAACTGTACTCCTAAGTAGACTGTGCTCCTATTAACACAGTGCCTGGAACCCTTCACAGAATTATCAGTATTCATACAAGGTTCCCTGGAGCCAGAATTAAGTGAGGAGCAACTCCAGACTTTCCTATGACAGATGCCACCCTCAAGAGACTTTCCTCTGAGAGGTGTAATCTTAGTGTATTCGAGGGAATAGTAGAGATTACTAAAAACACATCGAAATAAAGCTCCAGAAGCTTGTTGGCAACATTAAAGGAATCCAGGCATCAAACAAGATAGGTTCAAGAATGAATCAATTTCCTGTATCTTCCTGTTCTGTTTGTTTTAGATGAACCATAGCTTGGCGCTGAAGAGACGGCTCGGCAGTCAAGAGCATTATTACATGTTACAGAGGATCTGAGTTTGGCGTCTGTCACCTACATCAAGCAGCTCACCATCTCCTGTAACTCTAGATTCAGGGAATCTGACACTCTTGCCTCTGTGGGCACTGCACTCACAACCACACAAACCCCACACTCACATATACACACAATTAATAATAATAATGAAATACTTCTTAAGAAAAGAACCACATTACTCCACTGTCAGTATTCAAAGGGATCTGTGATCTAAATAATGAGTATTTTCATAATAATTTTGTACTTTATAAGTATCCACAAGGATGTTCAAAACATGTTATAATACATTATTAATACATATCTATTTATATCATTCTAGATAAAATTACTTACTCTTTGGGGTTTTGCATGGTGCCTTGAAGAATAAAGGACATAGAAATAAATACAGGCATTGGCAGAGACACAAACTCTCCCCTTGGGTGGAATTTCTATAACCACAGAAAGCAGAAAGATGGACAGAGGCCATCTTGCTGGAGCAAGTCAGCATTACTCCATACCTCTTCTGATGACTTTCGAAATGCCACATAAGCTTGCAGGACTTGTGACCTGTAGCTGATCCTTCGACCAAGTGTGTTTAATTCTTCTTCTAGCCATTTCATTTTAAAAGAAAGCAATGCCACTTCGCTGAGTCCAAATTCATTTTTCTCTGTCATGATTTTTGCAGCTGCTTCTAATGTGTGTGCTACCTCCTATGAAAGCAAAGCACACGGGGTCAGGAGCTGACAGGGGAATCGGGAACACTCACATTCCATTACCCTTCGGCACATCCATCTATTACGGTTATTAATTGAACTTGTACTGAGAATTTCCTCAATCAAAGAAAGGTATGACTTGTAGAATTCCAAATAGGAAAGAAAAAAAAAAAGGCACTTGAAACTGCAAACCATCTCCAATTCTTTGACTCCATCAAAAGCTGAAGGCCTCTAGTGTTTAAGGTAGAGGCATACTGCTCTGGGGCTTGGAGAATCAAGACCAAGTAACCAGTTTACAGGTCCTGAGCTGTGTTGTGCTGGGACTCTAGGTTACTCAGCCCCTGGAGAAGCTCTTGAACTCTTCCAGCAGGCCTGGCTTATGGTGTTAGAACTCTCAGCTCCAGCCTCTAGCTCTTCCCTGCCTCTGGGGTTCTCGGGAGTTTCCAATTTTCCTAGCTACCCTAAGTCTCCACCGTTGGTATTGCTGTGGAACTCTTAGCTGACTTATTACACCTAGGTCTCAGACATCAGGCCCTCAGCTCCTCAATTCTACCACTTCTTTGCTGCTGCTGCCTCTGCCATCAATGCTAGAAACCCCGGTGGTCTTACCTGCTCATTGTACAATTAGCCCAGCCTATTCTACCCATGATAGAGACCACAAGTAAACTGAGATCACTCCGGAGAGGAGTTTCTGAGGGCCTACTGTTGCAGCACTGGGGGATATCCTGAAGGAGAGAAGCCCCAGACTGAGCTCACAATGGCATCGAGCAGCCTGCTGGCACAGAAGGAAAGAGGCCCGGCATGTTGGTGCTTGGACTTTATTCCATCAGTGACAGCCTGGATATGTGTGCTTTCCTGTTCCACCAATCACCACTTTCTATAAGGACCAATCACAAGCCTCCTATAGGTATGGCCCCACAAGCTTTCTGCTGAGTCACTAAGGGAGGTACTCTTCCTCCTCCTAGACCTTAGTGAGAACTGCTGTTACTGGGCTCAGAACCACCACGGGGAGGCTGGGTGGAATGGGGTGGGGTAGACAAAGAATCCTTCTGGGAAGCTCTGGGTAGGGCCGTTGGGAGGCACCACTTAAGAGAAGTTTTTCTGGTGATGGTATAGCTGAAGCAGCGATGTCTAGAGCAGTGGTTCTCAACCTTCCTAAAGCTGCGACCCTTTAATACAGTTCCTCGTGTTGTGCTGACCCCCAACCATAAAATTATTTGCATTGCTACTTCATGACTATAATTTTGTTATTGTTATGAACCATAATGCATGATATAAACATATGATATGCAGAAAACCTGATACATGACTCCCGTGAGAGGGTTGTGTGACCTCAAGGGGGTCACAACCCACAGATTGAGAACCATTGGCCTAGAGCAGAAGTCTATGGCCTTAGCCACAGTCCTGATTGCTGTGTTCCTTGTAGCTGAATCTAGTTTCTTCAAGATATTCATGAAGTGCCTCGAGCAGCCAAGATTCCATGATGACACCTTAGCCAGTAGCCCAAAGAGGGGTTGTTCAGCCGACAGCTCCCCCATTCAAGGTAGTAGGACACAAAGGAGTGTCTGACAGCTGTCAATCAAAGACTTGAGCTGGCCTGGCCCCCAGTAGCTTGGCTTATTTGAGGGAAAGTAAACATTAAGGGGTGCTTACAGTAAAGGCCTGTCATAACATTAGCATTCTTAACAGTATGTAACAGTGCTTAACTCCTAGCTAATTGCCCTCAGGGAGAACTGGTCTCTCTGATCCCTCTCAACACACTACTTGCATGTCTATTCTGATGGTGTATAAACAAACTTATTACTGCCAGTCACATAAAAGTGCAGCTCGTATAATTATGTGCAACACATAGTGCTTGCTAATTAACTACGTTACCGGTTCATATATTTACTACACTATGCTTTTATTGTTAGAGTATTTTTCTACACATAGGAAAAATGTGCTGTAAAAGAGTGTGCCTGCTTGTGCTGGCAGCAGCTTCGAACATGGTGTTTACGTTTCTCTACTGCACCAAGGAACCATGTCTAGCGACCGACCTGCTCTGCCCAAGCCTGTGCAAGTGCACCCCGTGATGTTCACGCGCAATGGCCAAATCGTGTAACGGCATGTTTGTTTCCCAGAATGTCTCCCCATCATTAAGTGATACACAACTAAGAGCCACAGAAAAGAGCCCTGCAAAATTTCCCGAGAACAAGCGAGGAATTGTGCAGAATTAGAGAGAAATTTTCCTGCTCACATTTGCAGCAGAAGGGATAACTTCCCTAGGTGTGTTTAGATGCTTTCCAGGAACCCCACTGACTGGACAGAATTACAATTTGCCAGCCCCGCTCTGTGACAACAGACTGCAGAATAAAGAGGAACATGGGATTTCTCCCCCTGGGTTCTCTCTCGTGCTTCTAAAAAGGAGAATGCCTCCAGACATGGCTTAAGCGTTTAAAATGAAGATTTGTTGTTGTTCTTGTTCTCCGTCCCATTCTGAAAGGAGAGAAAGGAAAACATGCCTGTCTGCAGTGGGGGTGCTGTTTAGAGGGAGGGTCTTCTGTGCAAGCCTGGAGACACAGGGCTGTTCTTGCCGATGCAGCTGAGCAAGGACAAGGCACTCACTTTTCTGAATTCTGTGGGGGCAGCCTGTGGGTTTGACCCTTTCACAGGGGTCATATGTCAGATGTGTCAGATATCCTAACAGTGACAGAATTACAGTTATGAAATATCAACAAAAATAATTCTGTGGTTGGAGGTCACCACAACGCGAGGAATGTATTCAGGGGTTGCAGCATCAAGATGGCTGAAAACCACTGCTCTAGCTGAATCACTGAATCCAAACCTCAAGAACAGGGTAGAGCAGAGCCTGAGATACTGCCAGTTGGGGTGGGGCACTCAATGTCTGAATATGGAGGGTGAAGCAAGGCTGTGGCTTTTATTTGTTTCTTTGAAGAGTATGGTGACAAGTGTCGTTTCTGGATATCACGTGACTTGTTCTTCCAGAAAATCACAGATAGTCTTAGAGAAGTGTCTTCTTTGCCTGGTCTGGCACCTAGAGAGAGTTGCTAGCACCTCTTAGGAAAGGAACAGATGCCAGCAAGGGACGTGAAACCACAGTTGCAATGAGTATGAATGCACTAATAAATGGACACAAAAATATACACCATTAGCTGGGCGGTAGTGGTGCACGTCTTTAATCCCAGCACTTGGGAGGCAGAGGCAGGCAGATCTCAGTGAGTTCGAGGCCAGCCTGGTATACAAAGCAAGTTCCAGGACAGGCAGAACTGTTACACAGAGAAACCCTGTCTCAAAAAACAAAAAGCAAACAAACAAATGCAAATGCACATAATACTGTGTGAGTTCTTATGCCTTTGCCTGTTGTGCAGTAACTTAGAATCACAGCTCTGAAGGGAGCTGGGATTATCTCCATAACACTGGAAATTATTTTTAAATAATTATTGCATTATGGTCCTAGTAATAACTTTCATTTACCTTGGCTCGAACATCTAATTCCAGATATTTATTCAAAATCTTCTCTGACTCAGAAGGGCTGGAACCGATGTCCAATGTGTTAGAAAGAACTGGCCTGATTTCCTGAATTGACATTTCCACCTTGAGGAGCAGAGAATATATTGTAGTTTTAATAATATATACTTATGTATAGGAGTGTACATATAAGGAAATATTTCATATATTACCATTGCATTTTAAACACGTATCAATTTTGATCAAAAATAGCTTTAAATATGGAAGAATTTCATATTTCGATAATGCTCCTCTTCATATGATGCCATGCTAGTAATATGTGAGAATACATTCTTTTATTAACAGCAATGACTACCAACTATCATCCATACATATCTTTGAAGAGCTTTTCTGTATCACCTACAAAGGATGATAATTCACTTGCCAACAAACTGGCAGAGATGAATTCATCTATAGGTTGAATGAGAGCAATTTGCTGGCACATCTGAGTAGGCATTCTGAGTAGAGGTGTTAGGATACCCTATGGGCTGTTGGACTGAAGGCTGAAGAGCTCTGGGAAACACCTTGTCCAGATGACAGGGAAAGTGGGACCTACTTGAATCATTTCGCGGTTGAACTGAGGGAATTGTGATTTGATCTTTGGCTCACAAGAACTAAAGGCTATGGTGACCCTAAAAGGGCTTCATTCCACTCAAGCGACTCCCTGCCTCTCTTTGCTTTCTGTAGAACGCACTCTCTCCACAGCTAGTAAGGTAAGAAGCAACACTTGTTTAAATTCCTGCTGTGATTTCTGCCATTTCTGAATTAGCTTGACTCTCGAGCTATAGGGAATGAAACACCACGGCTGCCTCTGTGCTCAGACTCTCCCTGGACCTAGGCAACAGGACAGGTTCACATTCCCAAGCTACTGGGTCGATAACAAATGGGGAAATGATGTAATAGATGTTATATAATGCCAGGCTCTGTGAAGTCTGTTAACTCTACTTCTAGACATCCAAGAATATGAGTTCGTTGCACCAAATGAAAAGATCACTGAACATATGAGACAGCAAGGTTCATAACCATTGTGTCACCAGTGAATGGGAAATCAAATGTTTCCATGGAAAGTTACTGTATCACTCTGCTGAGAGGATTTTCCCATGAATGCTCTTATGTGTCTCTTGCTTTGGTTTTGTTCAATTAGTATAATAATGATAGCTTTTTTCCCCCAGAAACACAGAACCCATAATTACTGGTAACTATTTGTCTGTCTGAGGTCCTCCTGTTCAATTGTGCCATGATAATGACAACTAGTATGGGACTGTACCTAGAGTCATGCAAACCAAGAGCCCTCCTTTCAATGCATGTCTGATGTGGCTAACACAACTGTCGAGTGTATGCAACTTTGCATATATACATTCATGACTGGGTTGGCAGATTACATTAGACATTTATTATTGGCTACCTGGGGTAGGGGTGGTTGATGAGCAACAGTAATTACAACCATGAATCCAATTATAGGACCTAATGTGTAATATAGAAGAAGTCTAAGGAGACACCCCACCCTCCCACTGTGCTCACAGATGATCACTGAACACCATCCATGAGCACCAAATAAAAAGTTTACATTTTATTTTATGAAACTACCTTCCTTAGGTAGTCTTCCACAGATGCTGCTAATTGCTGTTTCTTAAGAGCCAATTCCTTGTGCGCTGTGCACTGTTCGCTGAGATGATCCACTCGTTTCTGAATACATTCCATCATCTCATGGATACCTGTCACCTTAGAGCTGAATGAAACAAGCCAGCTGTTAGTTCACTTGACCTTGACATAGAAGCCCTGACAAGAGGGAACATTTGAAAGCAGATATGTTCTTTCATGTGCAGTAGGAGTTGGTCGAAGCTACTGCTTCAGGATAACAGCAGTAAGGTAGTCATCATGCTGGGCAGCAGGCAGCAAAGCCAGAGTATGTTCCCTTGTTTTAAGTCAGTCAGTCCCAAAGGAAGGATGAAGTATGGCTTCTGCGACAGGTTTAATCTCTTCTAAAGGTTTACTTTTTAATATTTCTGTAAGATACTTGGAGAATCTTATGGTAAATGGCACAGAATGTTTACCAAGTTTTCCTGGGGGTATCATTTAAAAGCTTCATTTATTTCAAGATGCTCTTTGAATAGGAATGTGAATCAGCCAATTAACAGAGCATTTGCTAACCCAATAGGGTAAAATATTTATATATTTTGTTCTCAGTGGTTATGAATGCTCAAGGCTATATTCACTAGATAAAAACCTAGTTATCACTAGCAATTAGGTATCAAATACGCTCATCCATATTTGATGCCTCACATTATCATTTTTCTCACTTGTGTTGACCTATGAGAGGAAGGTGACAGGAGGGCTCACAAAATGACATGCCTTTCAAACCAGCTTTGAGCTGGACTCCAATTGCTTCCATCTGTCACAGGCTTCCTCACCATTTCCAAAATAAGCATGTTCACAATGAAAGACTACTATAGACAGAGTGAACACTTCTGGATTGTTCAGTCTATTCCTAGCACAGTGCCTTACCTACTATCTTAGACATATGTCTTTAATTTCCCTCCACTCGTTTTCCTCCAAGTTCTAGCAAAGGTTAGTATGATAACTCTTTAATTATCCTGAGAGGTTTTTTTGGGGGAAAGGGGGTCTGGGAGTATTTTTGTGTTTGTTTGCTTGTTTTGTTTTGGTTTGGTTTGCTTTGGTTTTTTTTAGATCTTGGAGCTAGGTACAGATTTCAGGAATTTGACCTCAATAATTAATTTATGAATCAGTAAAAATAAATTAGTAATAAAATAAGGACCAGATCAGAAATGACCTAGGAGTACAGTAATATCACTAGGATGGTTATAAGGATGCTTCTGAAGTGAGACACACTTGGGTGTGTCTTGTAGGTACATCAAGGGTCCCAGACGAGCATAGCTGTGAAATATAATATGAAGCCACTATGCAAAATATTGTTCCTGGTATATAATGTCCCAGAAACATTTAGAACAATTAGTTCTATATATAAATACTCATAATCAGTGAAGAAAATAAAGACATGAGGAGATTTTTAGAAATAATTCTTACTGACAGAAACCCACGCATTCTGAAAAAGCTGTATCCTAGCAATATGACTTTATTTTGACTAAGACTTAGGCTACGGGGTGATGTGCTAAGAAGGTCTTGAAAGTCCAGTTGTCCTATGAGCAACACGTTCCGAGTTTTCAATAGCATATTGAAATCCAGAGTAGGAGAGATCAAGCGACTGAGTAGCACTATGGAAAAGCATGGAGGGAGGAGGCTAATGGAAGGGAGAGATAGACACTGAGAGAGGAGGGAGAGGTAGACACCAAGAGGGGAGGGAATGAGAAGTGGCAGAAAACGCCCTGGCAACTTGCAAGTTATTGGTAAAATTTAGAAATGTAAAATAGAATTTGAAAAAGAACTGTGTCAACCAAGATGAAGACTGCTGACTTCTACTTCTGGGTCACCATATGGCTCCTCACCTTCAACCCCAACATGCACCCTACATCCATTACAGTTAGACATTTTTTTTTTACAAATTTTGAATAGGCTACTCCCTGGGGTACGGCAGTCGTCAGTAAACATGTCCAGCAAAGAATGATAGTATTCACACTGCTCTTTGTTTCCCAACCAGCTGTGTGTGTGTGTGCATCTGTGTGAGTGTGTGCGTGCGTAATATATGTGTGTATATTTGTGTTTGTGGGTTTTTTGTGTATGTCGCATGGTGTGTACAAATTTACAAGCATATGGAGGTTAGAGGTCAACATTGAGTGTCTTCCTCAATTGCTCTTCACTGTGTTTTAATTTTTTTTTTCAGTAATTTGTCCAGTCACAGAATGGTAGAAACAATATTTGAACATTTGAACCTGGATGTCTGTTCTTGTAGTCAATTCTTTTTTTTTTTTAACTGTCTCCTTGCACTTTTTCTGAGTGTGTAATACATGGCATAGTATTTCCCCTGACTTTCTTCTGTTGACTGCTGCTGACTTGCATACAAATAGACTGACTGGTTGGCAAGCTTCCTTTGAAATTGGTTGCTTTCTCTAGCTAAAAGCTTTGTCTGCATGTAGTCTGAAAAATGGTCACTAGAGGGACATACTATCTTGTTGAAATTGTATACCCTGAAGGTCCTTCCAGCACAGAGAACACAAAACAAGAAAACAAAACCAAATCAAGCATCGCTTCCATAAAAATATCACCTTTTGCAAAACCATAATTTTAATTTTGATGAACCATAACTAATAAAATAGGATCTGTCTGTTTCTGACTCTGTTTTTCAATCACCTATGAGATTCTCATTTTGTGATCATCGGTTTCTTATCAGGCACTGTATCTCTTACTCTGTAAATTCTTTAAGGAGAAGAGCTGGAGGCATACTCACTCCTATAATCCTTGTAGCCTTGAGCACACAGTCTTCTAATAACAGAAGATTAATGCATTGCTTTTTTAAAGTTCAAGACAGAGTTCCAGCTATCTGAGCCTGGCCTCAATCTTTCTATGCAGCCTGGGGACCTTGAACTCTTGATCCTCCAGCCTCTATCTCCTGAGTGCTGGGATTATAGGCACATGCCACCACAGTTGGTTTATGGGATGCGTGGGATCAAACTCAGAAGCAGAACCTAATTGTTATTTTGCTAACTGGACACGGTGTCAAGCTGCCTTCTAAACACTTAGGTTTATATTCCCAGATCAGTGCTGCTCTCAGTCCCCTCTTGCCCCCCCCCCCAGAGCATCATCTTCTCTTTGCAGTGGGCAGTAGTTAATGTAAAGACTCCTAAGTGGTCCAAGGACAAAGATTGGGTGACTGTGGAGTGATTGACCCTAAATGGGATGTCACCCTCCCTAAAGCTCAAAGAACATAAATGGAACAGAAGGAACGTAAGAGACAGAGGATGGAAAGGGCAACTGTAAAACAGTGTCTTCAGGGCCTGACAGGGATGTGGCACTCATAAACTCCCTCCATGTAGCTGTGATTACCTGCATAAAACCTACATAAGATTTGGCCATCATGCAAGGCATGGAGGGCTTATGAGGTCTCCCCTCTCACTGAGGGATTATGCATATTTGCAGGGTTCTGGGGAAGGTATTATCATTTTCTTCAGTAGTATAGATTCTGATAAGTGGCCCATGATCCAGTAAATTACCCCCTACTAATGCTCGTGTAAGCAGCCATAATTATATCCAGTGGGTCACATGGAAAAAATCCAAGTAGGATGGCAGGGGGGATCTTACCCGGAGGGGAAGGGAGATGAGAGAGGGGATTGATGGCAAAAATGAGCAAAATTCAATATAAAATGTATGAAATTGTCAAAGGATACAACATTTTCAAAAAGGAAAAAACCAAGATATTCTGAAATCAGAATTCTTCAAATGTCACAGTAATAGCATCCTGTAGCCTGTGAATAAATGACTGCACTTCTGGCCATTTGCAGACATTGTAGGCTGTCTAAGATGCCTAGTTTCTTTCCTGGTGTATATGAGTACTCACAGTTGGGTTCAAGCAATTTTAGCATGGATAGTTTGATTCAATAGACACTTCCCTCCCCTAATAAAGTTTTATGAGGACAATCTGAGTCTCCTTGCTCCAATGAGAATTATTGCCCACTCTGTCCTTCTCCTGTCTGCAGCATAGACTCAGTCCTTGGCTGGAGAAGTTGCGAGCTGCCCTGCTTACCCAAGTCAGTCCCCTTTTCCTTCTCTCTCTGTCCTCAAAAGGCCACCTCTCTTTGACTGGGTGCTAATCTCTTTCATTTCTCATCCCCAGTAGGAATATAATGATAGTATCTATCCTATTTCTAATCCTAGGGCTACCCGCCCTCTTTAGGCTTCCTTAATGAGACCCTGATTGGTAGATTACAACCAGCCCAGATGCTATCAATTTCATTTAGAACCTCCCATGTTGATTCTTATTTGGAGTCCTTTAAAACATGGATAGCGTTCACACTGGCAATTTTTTTTTCAGTGCCTTAATAGTAATTGGCTTGATCAAAGGAAAACTATGATTCCCCAATCTGCTAGCCATTCTCACATGACTTGAAAATAAATGAAAAGAATTTTGTCATTCACAAGGAACAAGTGCTATTCCATTACCGTCATGTTCAACCAATGGTGGGACAAGAATTGATGGTGGCTAAAAAAAACCTGACTGAAGCAAACCATGGCGCCCGGTTACTCCATCCCCACTCTAAAGCACACCGCCCTGTGCAGCTGATGGAGAAGGGAGAGGGATGACCAACGGGCTAATGATCTGTGGCCCCGGGATCGCATTGGAAAGATTGATTGACCTTTTGGTTTTCTCTGTGAGAATGGATTTGTTGGCGCCTGTCAGCAGTGTGAGCATGAGGCACGTCAGATTATTCCTGAGGTTGACTTTGGCGTCCCAATATCACAGATGCTCAGGCATGTCAGATTGAGAAGGCTTCTTCAGACATTTGTTAGAAGCTCCATCATAGGGGCATTTTAGCCTTTACTCATTAAGTCAATCGAGGGGAAGAGGGAATAAATGCTTGTTTGTTTCTTTTTTTTTTTTTTCAGAAAGGAAAGACATATTGACTTCTGCTTCCAGAATAGACTGCTCTGTTTACTGTAGGGAAGCAGTCACCCTATCTTTGCATCTGTCGCAAGTGGAGACTGGGGGAGGGGAGCAAATCCCCAAGTTAATGCATTCTAATGATTCATGCCAGAGCATGGCAAGTTGCTTTCAACCCTTTCATAAATTACTATTGGCAGCCCATCTGGATTAGGAGC